AAAAGCCTCCAACAGAATTTTGGATGATCTAGACTGGACTGCAACGTGGGACATCGTTGGACAGCGTTGGACATCGTTGGACGTCGTTGGACATCGTTGGACACCGTTGGACGTCGTTGGACATCGTTGGACACCGTTGGACATCGTTGGACATCGTTGGACGTCGTTGGACGTCGTTGGACATCGTTGTTCACCGTTGGACGTCGTTGGACATCGTTGGACGTCGTTGGACGTCGTTAGACAACGTTGGACAACGTTGGACAGCGTTGGACATCGTGGGACGCCGTGGGACATCGTGGTTCACCGTGGGACGCCGTGGGACATCGTGGTTCACCGTGGGACATCGTGGAACTCCGTGGAATGCGTACGTTTTAGTCTTAATTAATTGTAAGGTAGATACCTATGTCAAGTGCATTGTGAGCTCATTCCGTACAATGACATTTATCCACCTTAGAACGAAAAAAAGAAAAATCTCGTCTCCCTTCATTCGCTTACCACACAGTACTTGTTGTACTCGCGATTTATCGGTTCGCGATCACTCAGTTCTTTCCAACCGTAGCGTGACGTACTCGCTCGCGCGTATTCCACGTACGTGCGGGTCAACGTGCACTGGAAAACTCTTTGGAATCGTAAGTCGCCCCAAGAAAACCTCTGTCTTGGTGACTGCTCGACGACTGCTCTACGTTCGCATCGGATCGCGGGAGTTGTCGTCGCGCCGGTGATGCTAGCGAATCTGTTGGGGCCGGCCTGTCCGATTGGTACTTTGGTACTCGGTCAGGGACCTGCAATTTCACGTCCTCCGTAATTCTGTTCGGGCCCGCGGGAGTGGACACAACTGTTCAGTGGAAGTCAATGCCTTCGTAATCCAGTTCAGCGGTCCCTCGGTGTGAGTGGACCCCACTGTTCAGTTGAGGCCTCTTGCCTGCGTAATCCTGTTCAGCGGTCCATCCCCAGGTTCCACATGTTCAGTTGGAGTGTGTTAAGTTGCTGGCCTATGTGCTGGATCCACGGCTGAATTACCCGTGGATCACTAGCATCATCGGTCGGCGCCATCGACCGCGACACGTGTGAGTTTCGAACGGCGAAACAGGAAGCGAGTTACGGTCAATTCTTGGGCTTTCCGCTGAACCTCGGGGTTATCTCGTGTACGGGGGTACGTCGTGTAAGTTTCTTAGTTCATTCGGGAGATGGCTTTCCGCTGAACCGCGGGGTTATCTGGTGTACGGGGGTACGTCGTGTAGGTTTGTTAGTTCTTTCGAGAGATCGCCAGCTCGTTCGTTTCGGGCGCGCCGCGATTTTTTCCTTTATCATCAGATTCATCGGGCATTTTTTTGTTTTCCCATTTTTAAGGGAACTTATTGAGATCACGTTAGAGTTTATAACTTTTCAGTATCTTCGATATCTTACAGTGTCGCAAAAATAGGACGTTAACTAGTTTAATACAGCGACTCGTATGTCCCTTCAGCGAGACACGAAATGGGATATGCAGTGTCAGTAGCTTCATTTTCTTCTTTTCATTCCAAGTTAGATAAATGTGTGTTTGATACCGAATGATGCCAGTAGGGATGCGAATTATTGTACGATATTTGTACTGATCGATGTAATCGTTGTGTGGCAGATGGATGTTGCGTTACGTAGGCATTGTTCTACGTTTGTAAAGATTCATGTAAGCACTGCCTTGGAGACATGTGTTTCGCAGTTAGGCTACGAAACAACCATTTCCATACGCAGGCCCATGGTTAAGTAGAGTCAAAACTAGACATTCTGCCAACAGGCTGAATGTCGAGATCGATGTGTAGTGTTACATAACCCATGGGCGGGTCTCGTGCGTAGTCACCACCTCGTGGTGACACCTGGTAATTGGCATTCTTTTCCAAAAATTAATCAGTTGATTAATCTTTGGAAAACGATGCCAGGCTAAGAAGTACGCACCAGTCCAGTTTGGATCTCCAAATGCCGAAAAAAGAATTTCTTGTTATTACGTTACATGGTATAACGTTACAACGTATTACGTTATATGGTATGATGTTGTAACGTATTACGTTATATGGTGTAACGTCATATGGAATAACGTTATAACGTATTACGTTATAATGACATACCATATAACGTATTACGTTATAACGTTGCAACATATAACTTAATGTGTTATAACGTCATACCATACAACTTATTACGTTATAACGTTATACCA